TCCCAGAGAGCTAGGATTACAGGCGTGAGCCACCGCGCCCGGCCAAAAATGCCAATGCTTTCATTTTTGGAAACTGGTATGCTCAGTACATCTCACCGAACAGGTTTCCAAAACCATTATGTGAGTTCTCCCTTGAGTGCTTGCTGGACAAACCCTGGGATGAATCTGAGCATGTGCAGGCGTCTCACTGTAGCTGTTCTGCAGACAGGCTGTCTTTCTTCCTCCTCCTTTTTGTTATGGGAGATTAAAATCTAGAGGAAATGCCTCTGCCCACAAACTAGGCAAAAGCCTTGTAATAAGGTTTTGCTTTTGTTTACGTAGTGAAGAATTCCAAAATAAGCTATGCAAAGGTGGGAGCTGATACATGTATTCAAGCAGATGTGGAGAACATGATGGAAAAGAAACAAGAATTATGCTGTGATACACAGGGAAGATTCACATTGCCCCTATTTTTGTTGTGTTCATGTTCTTGAGGTGGGTTTGCCCAGGAAACAAGTATTCTGTGCCTCAAAACATGCGTGCCCTGTGCTCCTGACAGGAGCTAACATGTGGAGCTTAGGTTAAATTTCATGTGGCATTCCTTGCACTGTTGAGAACAAGCCTTTCTTCCTTCCGACAAATCTAAAGATGTTCCAGGGCTGTCTTCCAAGCAAACGTGTATTGTTTGGTGTTGGCACAGACTGTGGCTAAGAGCCAGCACACACCTGGCCAGTTGCCTGTGAAATTTGGCCCATGGAAGATTGTAGACAGAATCAGTGGAGGTGTAACATAAAGAATTTTGTATTATCAGAGTCCAGGTAAAGCAAAACAAACAAACCAATAAATTTTTTTTCTTTTTCTTTTTCCTTTTTTTTAATTTCAGCATATTATGGGGATACGACTGTTTAGGTTACATATATTGCCCTTGCCCAACCCGAGTCAGAGCTTCAAGCGTGTTCATCCCCCAGATGGTGCGCACCACACCCATTACGTGTGTATATACCTATCCCCACCTCCCCCCTCCCATCTGCCCAACACCCGATGAATGTTATTACTATGTGTGCACTTAAGTGTTGATCAGTTAAAACCAATTTGCTGGTGAGTACATGTGGTGCTTGTTTTTCCATTCTTGTGATACTTCACTTAGTAGAATGGGTTCCAGCTCTCTCCAGGATAATATAAGAGGTGGTTCCAGCTCTATCCAGGATAATATAAGAGGTGCTATATCACCATTGTTAAAATCTTGTGGTATGACACCTAATGGTCTCAACCAGCTATACTCACTACTTAAACATTCTCCTAAGAGACCTCTCAGAGTCTCAGAGGAATGTTTGTTTCACAAATGTGCAAATTCAAAACTTTATCTTTGATTCCAACTTTATGGTGTTCTTGTTTTTTTTTACATCTGAAAGTGAAGGTTTTTATTCTGCAGCATGAAATTGACCCATCTTTTTTTTCAGGCATCTGGGGCCAGTGATAGTTTGAGAAACTTGGTTTCATATTACCTTCACGTGGGCATAGAATCCACCAGCCTGTCTTTAATTCTGGCTGAGTGAGTAGAGCTGGGTGAAGCTGTTGCGCATATCTTGAGCTATACACCAGTTTGGTCTTGGAATTAGTGAGATGTTAATCTCTTCAGTGTAATTTTGGTTCGACTTGTGATGGAATTTTTCCTCCTCCCTCCCATCAAATTAGGAAGACTGAAGGCATGAGAGAGCATTGGGAAAGTTTTTTTTTTCAATTGTGGAAGCAGAAGCAAACTCTTGTAATTCACATGGCTTCTATTTTCCTCGAAAGATCCTTTATTCAATTCATATATTATTTTCCTAATATTGCAAGAATACGATGATTTCATCTCTGAACGTGCATTTGGCAGCTGACCCTTTAGCAAATCCAACCAAACTGTTTTCCAATTTAATAATGAATGAGGTGCTAACGATTCCCATGTTGGACAAATAATTTGGCCTTGCGCGAACAATGCATTACAGCTGTATTCTCCATTGTTGTATTAACTTACAGAGCATGGTGTAACCCAAGCCCGCTAAATTCCTACTGACATCTCCTGTTAGCCAGGTGGTTGGAAACCTGAATGCCTCTGAGCAGATGGGGAGGACAAGGTCTTGGGGAAGAATTCGGGCCTTGCAAATTTCACCTTCTTATAACTGCCAGTCCAGATTCTGGCATTGTTTCCCTCACGACTCTAGCTTCTGTTTGGGAACTGGCTGAGTCAGGATTAAGGCAAAGAGAAGATCAGAGACGTCAGTGAGAACCAATCAGTGTCTAAGAGTTAAGAGACTAGGACTGAGATACACAAAGCAGAACACACAGAAAATTGACCACAGTAGAAATACCCTATAGAAATGCTCCTGAAGACAAGCAAGGATTATAGGGTCATGGGTTGATGGAAGAAAACTGGAAGTGCTCACCCTCTAATATGGAGTGTTTGTGAGCTATAACTGCTAAGTAAAATTTATTAGAGTTTATGCCACAAAACAAGTGGTAGTCCTACAAAATTACTTATGATGTTTCAAAATGTGCTCAGCACTCTCAGTGCAAATTATCTACAGAGCTGGTGGCTTATCATTCTTTGATTCCCTTTTGCATAGCAAATATTCATCCTTTGAGGATGGATTTGATATTTTCTATCTGGTGAAATAGGGGTGATTAAGCAAGGCAATGCTGATTTTGGCTCACAAATTATAAAGTAATGAGCCATTTTCTGGTCGGTGTGTAAACTGGCCCTAAAGGCAACTCCAAGGGGAGTTTTTAAACTGTTTTGAGCAATTGCCACATGCATGGAATTATCATACACTCTTCCAAGGTAATTGCTTTGAAGAACAGAGCTCCTGTGTAATAAGATTTGGTTTAAAAAAATTCAGTAGCTAGCTGATCTCATTGTAGTATAATCATATTTCATATGATCTTTCTTTTGTGCCTATTTCAACAATTAAAAGCCAGACTTTGGATAAACCAGCCTTAAGAACCGATTATTATTATTATTTTTTTTTTGGCCTGTAAGATTTTCCAGTCTCTGTCCACCTTTATCATAACACTTCTTTTTTTCCTTTGTTCTGCTTCTTCCTGTTTGACAAGGCTTAGGGAACAGAAATATTGCCTCTGGAAAAGATACTCAGAGCTCCCTTTACTCCTGATCTCTATGAGAATAAAATGAAGAGGTAATAGGCATAAGGATGAAGAATATCCTTCCTCTGTAATCAGAGTTTGGACCTGATAATCTTTGGTTGGGCCTTTGTTTCTGAAGAATCAGCAGGGCCGATTCTTATTTTCATGTTTAAACTTTAAAATGTCCTTGGGTAAAAAAGCATTTGGCTTTAAATCATTAGACATGCATACTGTGTCCTTGGGTGCACAATGGTGCCTGACAGGCAGGTAAATAACATGAGGCTTCCTTTAGAAAAATCAGCTATAAATATTCAATTCAGAGCCAGAACCATCTGACATCTCCCTCTGACATGTAAACAAGACTCTCGAAAGTGTTCAGAGGAAGAGGATGAGGAAGCCAGCAGCAGGAGATGACACTGATGAAATGCTTCTTGGGTCTCCCTTCAGATAACTCTGCTTTTGTCATAATAACTTTTGTTATAGGGGAGAGGAGGTTTTCCTGGCAGATGCCTATTCAACCTCCTTGAGAAGGATGGAGGAATGGAGGACTTAACCGTAACTGAAAGGAGCCATTTTCTGGATTTCTAATTATCTTTAAATTTTTCAAGTGACTGTGAAGCTACACATAAACAATGCTCATGCAGTTACATGCCAAGTGTGTGTTGCTCTATGATGCCCAGCACACATGGGGGGCATTTTTCTCCTTGAAAGAGTTTTCATATTGAAAGCCATATTTGGATCTACATAAAACTAAAAAGCTTCAGAATATAGTAT